CGTCACGATGACATCGAGGAGCGAGCCCGCGTTCCTCGCGAGCTGCCCTTCGATAGTTGTACGTATCGCGGTATCGCTCGCTGAGAGACCTCTATCCAAGGGAGAGTTGCCTTATCACACTTGTGTGCGACCGCAGTTGCGCGAACCGAGCTTCGCTCCTCCATCCCCTCGTCCATAGTGATATACAGGGTGACTTAAAAATCGCGCGTGCTTTCTTCAAATCGTTAAGAGCTACATTGAGAAAAATGATTATTATTCGCTGTCAAGACGTCGATCATTTCACTCTTAAACATCTCTTGTGCAACAAATTTTTTAAGTGTAGATTATATATGTAACGCGCAACACATAAAAGTTATATAAAAAAAATCTAATCGTTATTTAATTTTTTAAATAGATTATATTTATATAAAGTTTTAATTTTAAAGAATTTTTTAAGAAATGTTTTTAATTTCGAAAAAAAAGCTGCTGCGAAAATAAAAAAAAATGACTTTTTACCGATATTCTCGTTGAGCAAAGTTTGACTTAAGATTATCTGAAGAATATTATTATATATATATAATAGGGAAAGGGCATAAGGTTTCTTTGAGGCGCCCTATATACATTTAATGCGTACGAACTCCAGTTTCACGTATGACGAACGATGCTAAAGAGGGGGAAAATAGAAAGGCAACTTTAAAACGCGGCGGTCGTTCAAGCAGCGATACACACCGGATTCGTGCAATCGTAATTAATCTGCGCTGCGTCGATCACAATCGCCGTCTCACAATCGCTCGGTGACAGATGGTGTCTGACGAATATCGCATCTTCGCGCGAACTTAATAAATAATGGGATTGCGGCGTATGTTCTGACCAATGGGCAGAAGGGACGCGACTTACGTCGCGGAAAATGCCGTATTGATCGCCGAGTGGACCAATCTAGCGCAAACTTTGATCGCAACCACGTGGCGCTGTATTTGAAAGCGGATCTCGTTAAGAACCAAAAAAATTATTCAGAAAAATAACAATAAGAAGAAACATTATTAAATTTGTAATATCAAATTATACTCAATTTGACATTATAGATTTAATAATGTTCCTTCTTATTGTTATTTTTCTGAATAATTTTTCTGATTCTTGAGTTATTTTTAATTATTTCTGTAGGTGAAGTATAGTTGACATCTTTGGTCAATAGATGTAAAAAAAATGAAACGCGTGTAGTTAAAATATATTTCTTTCTAAATAAATCCAAAGATTAATAGATTTTACTGACTATTTTTGATTTGCTAAATTATGACTGGAAACTAATGATAACTATTGACACTCAATCATATTTTTTTGTAAGGGTCGCTACTACTCTTACTTAATATATCGTTAATTTAAAACAATAAGTTAAACAATTTAATTCATTAAAATGTATTACTTCAATTTGACTCAAATTCAGTTATTATTTACTAAGTGATATGTTAAATAATATATATTAAAAAATAATTTTTTTATAATAAATATACATATTGAAAATACATGAATATAAAACGAATAATTCTAACAATATGGTAATATTAAAATAACTTTTCACTAACCGAAAATAAAGATAAGAAATCACCATATTGGCACTTTCAGCAGTTCGAGCGAGATACCATCGACGGTTCTGGTGTTAAGAGTCATTCATATTCCATTCAGCTTTATCTTGCGCACTTTACGCGGATTTGATTTCAGCAGCCACGTAAAAGCCAAAATTGTAACGCCAGAAAACTCCCGTAAACTCGGCTCCATTGTTGCGCAATCTTTCCATTATAACGTAAAAATCTACGGAAAACCAGTGAAAAAAAACGTGTTTAACGCTACATAAAAGATGCATAATTTTCACATTTTCCATTCGCATTGGAAAATGGAACATATGATATGAAAGCAAGAGCATAAACTGAAGCATACGCGATGGATGCTGTATAGTTACCGCGGTTGTTCATATAATTCCACATGGGATTCTCGATAAATCACTTTCCGGGAATCGTGTTCCGACATGAGACTTCTAATGGCAGAAACTTCTGATGACCGAAGCGCGCCATCGAGCAACCGGTCGACTACTATTCCTTCATTGCCAAAGTTTCGTATATCCATCACGTGACTGCATATGGGATGGTGTCGAGAACTTCTTTTTTTTTCTTTTTGATAAAACGCCAATACGGGCGACTTCGAGCGAGCAGTCAAAATGTCGCGAAGAAAATACTACGATGATGTAATAATGCCCATATCTCTCTAAAATTAAAATTCGATCCAATTATGTTAAAATCAATGAACTCTCATTCTTCAACTAGAACGATTTTAATTAGTAATGTACATAACTATTTGCATTTTGGAAACCAAAGTTGAATAAATGGGAGAGGCTGATTCCTTTGGCTGCTGTATTAAACGCTTGCTTTATCTGCAATGCGTAATTAATGCGCTATTCGTTATAATTACGAATTTATTGTATATATGTACGAATTATAAATATCTAACGATATCAAAGTCACTGTTGAACAGTATAAATATAGTTCGTTCGATGCAAACCTATGGTGCGCTACTTTTGACCGTGAGCAGCGCGGTATAATACTACTGCAAGTGCATGTCTGACTATACACATGTAACAACTACTGCCGGCGTGTTCACTACTACGCGTCAGACAATGGCTGTGTTCCGATATTCACTGCTAAAAATCTATAGTGCACATAACGTATATTATAGATTTTTAGTACTGGCAACGAATATCAAAACGCAGCCAATGTCTAATGCAGGAAGGATCAACACTTACTACCTGCTACCTACAGGATGAAAAATATGAGATGTTCTGTCTTATAAAAAACGACTTATAAAAAAAAAGTGAAAATTGATTGTAAAAAATTATTTACATGCAAAATATATTCTTTTAAACTAGAATAGCAGATGTTGAAAGCATAAAAAAATGTACATATATTACAAAAAATGCAATGTATGTTTTAATCTATTATTTCTGTGTCGTCGCATTTATATATTCAGTCATTAATTTATCTGTCAAATAAATGTTTCTTTTATTTGTAAAATGTCTAGTCAGATTTTCGTATTACGTGAATAAGCAAGAAATTAAGATATACCTATGATATATATTTGCATGACATAATGTATAAAATAATAATATAGAGCATGTACAGAAGAATCTTTTACATCACTTATTTGCTGTACAGAATTCATTACATCACTTAGCAATTACACTTACTGAATAATTCGTCATTAACTATGTCATACAATAATTAATAAATTTCTTAGAAATATTTAGGTATAGATATTACAGATATAGCTAGAAACTTGTATAATTAACATTAACTTATACAATTATCTCATACACAGTTATAAAAAATTTGGCACATATTGATTACATAGAAAATGTATATAATAATAAAATGATGTAATTAACTATTACATGAAAATAGAACATAACATGTTAAAGATATAAATAAAATACAAAAAATCTAAAAAAATTTAAAACTTAATTTTTTTATAACTTATAACTAATTCTTTTCCCATAATATAGACAAGAATGATCACTTGTCGCATCAACTTGAAATTTGTTTGCCTGAGATAGGATTTTGAAAGTTTGATGGGTTAAGAACAGACAATCTTAAACTTCAAAGATATTGGTCATTTACTATCTATATACATATTCCATGTAACATTCTTCATGAAATATAACTTCATTATTAATATTAATATGATAAATTTTATTCTATGCAGTCTATAAAACGCATCATATTTATTTATACTGTTATTTATTTATTATAGACAAGCAAACTATATTTAAAATTTATCAAATTTTATATGTAATTAATTGTAATTATATATGTAATTAATTAAAATAATCTGAAAAAATAATTATAAAATTATTTTAAAACCCTTGTATGCAAAAAACAATTTGCACATAAAATTACTTTTTTGCATAATTGTTTCCTAATATATAATATATATAAAATATAATATATAACAATTATAATATGTATAAAATTATTATAATAAATTTATTTTTATATGCTAAACATGAATTTAAATGGACATGTTTTCATATTTCATATGTTAATATCCTGGAAATAAAAAAGTTAAGTATGTACAATCTATATGAGTTATTAGATCGTACAAACAAATATCTGCATGTGATGTTTCTGTCAAATTTAAAGCAGTCGATTATTGAGATTCTTACAAGAGAAGTTTCACAATTGTCCGGAACCGATTTGATTCTCCATGATATATATAACACTCCTTAAACATGAGTTAGGGCACGTATTAAAAAATACGTGTCTCTTAGATTTTCGTGTTTAACAACATATTTAATGGAGAATCAAATCGGTTCCGGACCTTTTTTTTAAAAAAGAAATATAAAGATTCGTTAAAATGTACAAGCGGCCTTCGTATAATTTAAATTGTTATTTGTGGCCCACTAAAATATGTATATATATATATACACATACATATTAAAATTTTCTTAATTACCTTTAACATATTTTTAATAAAAATTAAAATTTACTAATAGAAAAATCAGTGTAATGTTTCAGAACAAATTGTTTTATGTTATTATATGTATTTCTTTTAGTCTTTATGAAATTTAATTATTAAACTTAATTATATGGAGATAAATTATTATTTACATAATGATAATGATAAATAATCATTACATAAATACATAAAATATAATTTTGTTCATTTGTTTAAAAATTATATCATTTTTTAATTATTTATCTTAGATATGTATGTACATTATTACAAGTCTAATAGGCAGTAATTTATTAATACACTATATTGCAATATAACATATTAAAGTAAATGATATTTTAGTGCACTTATAGGGTATATTAATATATGTAGTAAACTATTATATTAATATATGCATATAGTACACACTAATATTAATATATTTGATTTAATATATTTGAATAATATTAATATATTAATAATACAAAATGAACATCTTCTAAAACATTAAATATTTTTAATCTCGACCGTATAGGGCTCTAATTTATCGGTTGTGTCTCTCACATACACGGTCTAAAAATGATATTATTAAATATTTTGTTGCTAAATATCAAATATTTAAAGAAACTTAAAGCTAGAAAGAATTATTTACAATTGCGTTTATCTAATATTACTCATAGAATTATTTCGATCGTTTGTAATCATCGTCTCTCATTAAATGTTTTATGAAAAAAATATTAGTAACGTTTAATGTTTGTCTACTACTTGATCAATAAATTTAACACAATTTAATAACATTTTAATTTATTATAATTAAACTCTTACTGTACCTTGTGTTTTCTATATGTATTTTGTGAAATATTCGACATGATAGTTCTTAAGTTGTGAGCTGCATAAAATTATATCAAAATCGTATAAATCCTGTTCTACAATATTTACACAAAAATTCTAATACATCTCCTTTTCATATAAACTTGAAACATTTTTGTTTATCATGTGGTATTCGTGTCTTAAATAATATCGAATCAGCTCGATATTGTGTATTCAATAGAGGCATATAGCCGAAAACCTAAAATCATTAATTATACTGAATAAAATTGACGAATTTACATAAACGATAATAATAATAATAATAATAATTTAAAATACTTAAATGTAATAAAGAAAAATGTAAAAGTAATTAACAATTACAACTTTTTACCTGTGAAAAAAAATTGATACATTTATGTCTTTCTTGAAAATGAGTATCATCTTCTGAAAGTGAAACTGGACAACCGGGACATCTAAATGTCCAACGTGATGTAACCTAAACAAACAAATATTTTAATATCATTGCATCATATATTAATATATTCACATAAATTTTCCAAATTCAATTGTATGATTAAAATGCAAACAGAAATAGTACATTGCAAAATGTTTAAGTTGTGATATATAATTGCAGAATTTTTATAAAATCTGAATTAAGAAACTAAAAAGTTTTAATTTATAATATTAATAAGAGTAATAAATATTTTCTTTTTAAAATATATATATAATGTCTTACTTTAACTGGTGGTTTCCTTGTAAGATGAGATATTAAAAAATTCATTGCAATGTCCTCACAATTCATATATTCGTCAACTTTATCTCTTATCGCTTGTGGTAACCAATGTGTGTACAGATATGTATAATGTTTATGAATGAAAGCAGCTCCAGTTAAAACCATGGATAGCTCGCAAGAATAATTAGAATTGTAATTCCAAGCGTTGTGATAATTCTGGTCCCATGCATGAAATCGACCAGGGAATCCAACTACACGATCTCGATGTTCCCTCCACACTCTAAAGATGTACGTTAATAAATAACAAAAGTATATGGAATGAAAAGACTGAAAAATTGGCTTACCTAAAACCAAACATGATTTCATCATGTCTCAAATGAGCATCATCATCAATAGAAAGGACGGCTTCTGTCTCAATTGCATCAAATGGCAGGAATCTATTATTCAAACTATTTCTTGGAGCTTTTATAACCTGTTCAAATATATTTGGAAAATATATTTTAATGTGTAAGCTTTAAAAATGAATAAAGATTCTATAGATAATAAATTAAAATTACATGTATAGGAACGCCAATATCAGGCCACTTGAGATCTTCTACAGGTGGTTTCGGACTATTCCATACTACAAGTACCTTGTTTAAATAAGGCAAGCCATAAAGACGTGCCAGTGAATTTATAAGAACCTGTTCTCTTTCATAAGTTAACATGACAATTGTAAATTGTTCTCTTGGATAATTTCCTCCTAATGATTCACTAAATTCTTTTCCAGCGCCTCCAGCACCTTTACCGATGGGTCGAAAGCCAACTTCTGAGCCTATGAAAGAATAAAAAAGTAATATAAATATAATATATAATTCTCATATAATAATTTCTAAAATAATGATTTTACCAAGAAATTTAGCGTCACTGGGAAGAACAGTATCAAAAGGTAATTGTGGATACAAATTAAATGGATCCATCCAATCATTCCAAATTTCATGATTTTGAACTAATAGTGTTGTATAATTTCTCTTGAAAGCAGGAGATGGATACGGTGGTTCTAAAGGACCTAAACTTTCTTCAGCTTCAGGTTCGGCAATAATGGCATCTGATTTTAAAGGCTTCAAAATAAAAAGTAATGTAAATTATACAATTAAATGTGTGTTTTTGGTTAAAATATATATCACATATTCATGTATATATATATATATATATATAATATAAGATATCATTTATATATATATAAAATAAAAAAGCGCGTCACATTAAAATATGTACCACAAAACTTTCGTTAAAAACACTAGGACTGGATGTTTGAGATGCTGGTAGTGGAGGTATACCAAGTCTGTCTCTGATTACTGCTATGGTCGTATCCACTACACCTTGAGCAGTACTCATATAACGTTCCCATATTAATCTACCTTGTCTCCGTATAGTCAAAAGATCGTTGTCAGGAACAGCGCGCAATAAAAAGTGCATTTCAGTCACTCTAGCCTAAATAATTATATAATTCTATTAATTTCATTTCAATAATTAAAAAACAAATTTGATAATAAATTACTATAAAAATTACCTTAGGTAGGAAAATAACTGCTCTCCTCCAATCAACAACTTCGTTATAATTAAGCAAAATCTGATCACCACCAAGAATGACTGGTATTGATCCAGCTCGCAATGCTTCGTACAATCTTGCTTGCATGAACGAAGTAGTTAATAACGTAGCATTGCTGGGAGCTAAGATCAATGCAAATGTTGATTCCTTTAATATAGCCCTTCTGGACGAATCAGTTCCGCAAAGAGACCAATCAAGAGTTTCCACAGGTTTACTCTCCATAGAAGCTGGTATACATTCAAATTGAATAAAAAATTTATCCAAAGTTATTCCGTTGCTCATATCTTTCAAATGTTGAATAATAAATGCATCTATATTGTTATCATCAATTATCAATTTTTCCAAATCTATATCTGCGTCATCAATTTGATATGTCATCGGTGTGCCCATAAAAGTCCTCATTTCTCCTTGGAATGACAGCAAATATTTCCTTCTCGCAGGTAACATTTGTGCGCATTCTTGCCAAACATCTCCGCCAGGTGGTCCCAGAATTGGTGGAACAATTAAATCGAAATCATCGCGAAATTGGTTTCTATAAAATGTTGACTGTACTACCATCGCTCTGCCAGTATCCAAATTACTGAAAATATTTCCAGAATCTGCAGATAAATCTCTACGTGCAAGATTTAATAATATGTGATTTCTACCGTCTCCACCCCAATAGGGAAGTGCTTGTAATTTCTTTATATCTAAAGCTTTGTTATGACGTTGATTACTCTTTTGGTGGAGGCTCAATGCTTCACCAATTAAGACTATGTAAACACATGCCTCTGCTGGATTTCTAGTAAGATGCGGATTATATCCTACAATCAATTTTTTGTATATAAGTTTTATCACAGATAAGTACTACGTAACGCAAGAAATGTCTTTAAATACAATTCTGTTTACTTTGTGTAATATATAGCTTATTTATATCTTAAATACATACCTAGCGTTTGTTTAATAGTCGTTTTTAAGAAACCGTCTACATCCCATCCTGGACTAACTACCGAAAATTGATCTGGATCATACAAGTACACAGGAAAACCACTTGTCAATGCACATCGACTGTGATCAAAACAATTGTACATTCTACATGATCGTGGATCTGTGCTAGGTAATACAATTGGCAGAGTATTAATCAATATTCTCTTAGGTGGTGCTAATTCAGGCGTGTTTCTTTCCACCGCTTCTTTCTGCGCCACCTGTGCTTGCTCCACACTTATTTTTAATCTATCAAGGTCAGTTTGCTGATGCAGTAACTCTTGCTTCAGCTCGTCTATCTTCTGAGTCAAGCTATTAACTTCGCCCTGAAGTCTTTGCCTCTTTGCGCTCAGATCTCTCAATTCATTGCTCACTGAAATTTTTATACGAAACATTTCCTCTATTCTCATCTTCAGTTGTGACGCTTTCATGGATGTGAAATCCTCAAAAGCCTCCAGGGTTGAGAATGTTCTATACATATCCCTATCTGGAGCATCAGATTCTACCTGAAAGTCAACTTAAAGTTAATGCGAAGTATTCTGGGACAAATAATTTTTAAAAGTTTAACTTTCTTCTTTAACTGTACCTTAGATAAATAGTAATGTGTAAATAATGGCACGATAAATAAGACTATAGACGTCAAAATGATTATCCTTGACAATTTGATGTGCGTCAACCATTGGCACATCTCCCTCCCAGTTCCATTGTGGTAGAACGGAAGTGCCTCATAAGTATTTCCCACCATGATTATATGGAATTGCTAAGTATTTTCATCTGTCTAACAAATCCTGGATACTTCCATCCAGCATCTTCTTGGATTTCTGCAAGCAATGTTACACAGCCTTTAAAGTAATCTCATGAGCTTTTACTTCATTTTGCATGTAACAAAAACAGCTTTTCATCCATAATTTCTCACATTTAGTTTAACTTAAAGGACAAAGGGCACACAAACGCATTATTAATACTAATACCTGTCCATACTAGAAACCGACGTAGAAATTAAACCTGGAGATGACTTTATCAGACCATATCATTGTGTTGTCGATAACCTACGTAACCTCATGGTCTCCTCCATTTTCCTGCTGTCCGGATCGAAAACATCACGAGCTGGACCAATCCCACGAGGACTTTTGACAGTCACATTCTACATCGCCCACGGTCGCATCGAGGTTAGTCCCGAAATGCGTTTCACTCGCGTCCGTCGTCCATCTGATATCTCCACTCTCGTGAGATGAGACCCAGCGTATCGCAGCGTATACTACCGATCCACCCAATGCTCCCGAGATCTCATGCCGAAAATATGAAACGGCGCGGCGAATCGTGAACAGCCGTCTGGGAGTTATCCACGTCAATCTACTTTTCGAGATTCGGAAAGACTCGACGATTCCCTCTAATTTCTCTCCGTCGCGTTTGACGCAATGATGCGAATTTTGACGTCGCGTCAATCAAGTTCGAACGGCCCGCTCGTTGTCGCCTCCAGTCGCTTCGTATCCTGGTTTGCTCCGACGACGTTTGGTGGCACGTCGCGACAACACGTTGCGCATTCGCGTGATGTATTCGCGTCTCTCGAGGTCTTCGCCGAACATGCGCATGTTCATGCAATGTCCATGTCGAGCGTAGTGCGAGGGGAATAATATTTTGGCTTTCGGGGGCCTAAAATTAGCCGGAAAATGGTAAGCTTTCGAGAAAAGTGTGGTTGTACGCCGACGAGATCACGCTTATGTCGCGTTATTCGGCCAATCGGTCTGTCTCTTCATTCTGGAGTTTCGCACCTTCGTTTTCGAGTTTTTAGAATAACCTAATAACCCCCGCGTTATAATAATGTTTTTCACATTCACGTTGGCCTCATCACCCGGGACGATGAAGCGACGCGAAATTTCACTTTGTTGCTTCCCCCCGCTATCTCCCAGTTTTAAAAATATAGTTGCGTTAAAATGCTGTCTGATGCAACGTAAAACCGCCTCGACATATCATAGCGTATTTTGAATGATACAAACTGTCATTTTTGCACATAATTTTCAGACAACCAAGATAACTGCTTGAATTAAGATTGTAGAATATTCTATTAGCATGTACTTTAATTATAACGTAATGAATTTCAGAATCGTATTGGTGTCACTGTCACTTTTACCTGTTACTCTTTTTCTTTTTAATGATAAGAGAGTTTGTAGCACTCATCATTTTATTTATGTTACAGCATAAGTTAAAATTTTCACAAAGGGACAAAGTGAAAAAATTTATAACGTTCACACAAACTGGAGAGCAAACTGCGATATATTGTTTAGCCCAAAATGATTGGAAACTGGATCTCGCTAGTGATAATTACTTCCAAAATCCAGAAGCTTATTATAAAGAACCGAAAAATTCTGTCGACAAAAAGAAACTGGAAATATTATATAGCAAATACCAAGGTAAAATTGTTATAATATATTAATAAGAATTCCATTAGCCTAATTTATTATTTATGTGTTTAATGTTAATAAATTATAATTATTATTTTATAGATCCAAGTGAACCTAATAAAATTACTGCGGATGGTATCATGAAATTTCTTGATGACTTGAATCTAAGTCCTGAGAGTAAATTAGTTCTAATTATTGCATGGAAATTTCGTGCCGAAACACAATGCGAATTCACTAAAGAAGAGTTTATGAATGGAATGGTGGACTTGGGGTAAATATTAATTTCTTTGACATATATCTATGGTGATTGAATAAAAAATGAATATACCTTACATTTTTCATCATCAGGCATGTGTATACAATTATGACTATTTCCATAATTATTTTCAGTGTGGATAGTATAGATAAGCTAAAAGCACGATTAGGTAGTTTAGAAAATGATTTAAGGGATCCTCTAAAATTCAAGGATTTTTATCATTTTACATTTAATTATGCAAAAAATGCTGGACAGAAAGGCTTAGATTTGGATATGGCCATTGCATATTGGAATATTGTATTAGACGATAAATTTAAATTTCTTCAATTATGGTGTCAATTCTTACAGGTAAGTAAATTTCAGATATTGCTTTGGAATTTACTTTTGGCAAATTACTTTAAAATAATAAACTGATTCTAGGAACATCACAAAAGATCAATTCCAAAAGACACATGGAATTTATTATTAGACTTTGCACTTATGATCAATTCGGACATGAGTAATTATGACGAAGAAGGTGCTTGGCCTGTGTTAATCGATGATTTTGTAGAATGGGCACAACCTCGAGTTCGTCAGTCTCTCTAACGATTTTCTTTTTTTTGCAACATTCTCGCACATGATAACTTTATTCATTTACAAAAGATATATTTTTAAAATTATTTTGTGAAATGATTATTTTTTTTCCAATGACTTTGTTTTATTTTTTAAAAGTGATTAGAGACAAATTAATGCACATAATATAACGAATCATAGTATATACTATATAGCATCTTGTAATATGCATTCTCAACAATTTACAATATATCGCTTCAGTAGATACAATTTCATTTGCTAAAGTATGTAAAGAGAGAAAGTCTTTTGAGTGTTTTCTTAAAAAAAATAATAGTTATTTATTAAGTTCAAGTTGTGTGAAATCTACTAACCACATAGATACTTGTACAATAATTTAATTACAACTTTTGCTTTACCTTCAAAGAGAAAAAAGCATTGCCTTGAAATTGATCATATTGTACAAAAGTAATATATGTGTGAGATGTTTATTTACATGTGGGAATATGACAGAAAGTTGCTCAACTACCACCGGTAGTATTTGCAAGCAATTAAAAAACTCGACGTTCTTTTAAAATAATATGTCGGAAGCAAAATTGGAAGAGAAAAATTAGTCCATACGTTCCTGTAGATAGTAATTTCTAGAAATTGCGTTGTTGAAGAAATTGTTATTAAATAAATTCTACGATACTCTATTACACGACACTTAGAATGTATATAAAAACATAAAGAGAAAGAAATCTGTATTTTAGACATTATACTATTTCGGCATCATTCTATTTATTTTTTTATATTCAATCAGGTTATAATGATGAGGAGATAAAGAGAAATTTATTTCTCGTATGTATATTAGAAGAAAGATTACTTATATACAATATACTTTATATAACATTGTTCTAGTGACAAAATATAATTTTTTTTATAAACTTAATATAATAGTTTTCATTTTCAATTATATGGTATAAGTTCATTCATGGAATTGTTACATAAAAAAGTCATTTGTGATATTCTTTACAGATTTGATTCTCTTAACAAGTTTATCGTAGGCATTTTGTATGTTAAATATTATCCCTTGTAACTACATTCTATAAAAATTTAGCGCAGCAATATATTTAGATTTTTATCTACACAAAATATGTGGACATAATGTAAAAAATTATTTATTATCATAAATTGGAAAAACTGTTAGAAAATCAAAATATTGCAGCTATATATATATATATATATATAATAAAATTATGAAACAAAAAATTTGAAATAAAATTATCTCGTCCATGCGTTTTTGATTAAATTTTATAAATATAATGTGAAATAGACAAAAAAAATCTCAACAAATATATAAAGCAGTATAAACTTATTGTATGTAGTTACATATCGCCAGGGATATACGTTTGCACAATGCTAAATTCATTCAAAATAGAATATACTATTATTCGAAAATAAGAAAATTGATATTCGAAGATAATTTTCGGATATAAATTTTCCTTAATAGTTTCAGTATTGTGCAGACAATAAATTGTTTTACCAGCCTTAGGAGAAACAGAAAGTAAATTGTACATAATGTAAATAAATACATCAATCTATTCAGTGCGTCTCTGTTTAAATAAACTGCTGAATAAATATACACCACATTTTGTGTATATTATCTCTATGTGTTTAAATGAATATTAAATAAAAAGTTCTGCTAAAAGTCCACAATTATATTTCGTGTGTGTATTACTTATTATATAAGTTAGAAAAAAAATCATTAATTTTATTTTCTAAGTTTTTATAATCGGCAAGAAATATAATTATTAATAAAATATGTCAGTATTTAGTTACAAAGATGATTACATTTTACAAGATTTTTTACATTCGCATAAAATTCTATTGTGGTCATTGCATTGTGCATAAGAATGTAAGAAAGCTAATTCGTATTTATTAGCGTGTATATTGTAACAATTCTTTAATACATCCTGAATATACCAATTGCATAATGATTCCAATCTATCGATAGTCGTCTGCATCACATTTTTTTTCAATTATTAAAAGAAACAATATTTGTATTTACATGGTATCCTTTAGTATTCATTAAAAATTTACTTACCTGAGCTATGACTAATCCATGATTTGAGTTGCCAGTAGTGTGACTATGCGAATCAAATAAAGTGACCTATGAATAAAACTTGGGTCTTATTTATAAAAGATGATTATTAATTATGTCAATATTTTAGAAAGTAAATCTAGTTCAAAACAAAAATGCTGTATGTGATTATTTATTTAGACGATCACCAACTAAAATATGGATATATAATTAAGACTACTATGTAATTCATTTCTGTTGATTTTAGCTGCAAGTGCTTACCTTACTCGTAGTTTCTTGAAATATAAATAATATAGTACGTCCGCATGTGATAAGTAACATAAACAAAGTGTGACATTTTGGATTTTTATACCATTCATGTAAAAATACGTTTATATTTTTGTATAGGCTTGTTTCTATCTCCTCATGAAAGATATTGAACTTCTGTGACAAAATTATTATATATATTATTCAAGTGTAAGATGTATATATTCACAAAAATTCTTCTATTTGTTTAGAAATACAGTTGAATAAGAAATAAATTTTTTAATTGAATATTAATAAACTTACACACATGTACAGTTATATATATATATGTATATGTATTAGGATATAATTCATATTAAATATTTCTATCATACCCATTCTTTTAATATATTTAAGCTCTTGCCCCCATGTTTTAAAGCATCTTCAGTATTCAAATACGGATGTGATATAAGCCTTTTCTTAATAAGCCACGCATGAATAGTGTTACCTTCAATTATCGCCTCTGCCACAATAATATTTAATCTCTGGCAGTTTTCTATATCATAAATCGATACATTTCCTCTTGAGATTCGTACAGCCACAAGTAAACATATAAGTGTACAGGCTTCACTTACTGGAGATTATTCAGTGCATCAAAAAATAAGCGTTATTGATATTGTGATGTATACATATATACAGATACTTTTAATTTGATACAAGTAACAAAGTATAATTACGTTTTTGTCCTGGTGGATAACGGCTTTGCGTAAATTCGGATTGATACCATAATATATCTACTTCATTATTAAAACAGTTTTTCATGTATGACGGAAAGTGGCAACTAAATAGTGGTGGTAAAGTCATAATTACAAAAGTATCTTTTATTCCATATGTTGCTCATTACTTATTAATTTTGTTACCAAATACATCTCTTTGTGATTCATATTTATGTTCTTTCCAAAAAGGTTTGATGTGTATATATATATATATATATATGTGTGTGTGTCAAGACATTTTGGATGCCAAAACTTTGTATGGTAATTGGGTTATAATTGTATTGTGTGGTATATTATGGATGGAAAACAATTGTATGAAAAATAGCTGCATTCATTAGATACAAATTAATTGTTTCGTTTCAAGCAATTGAATTAATCGATTTAAGTTATGTTCCGCTGCTAGTACTGCAACTCTATAATTTATGTTATGTATAATATAGATTTTCAAATATTAATAATGTATATGTATAAAAAAACTATTTACTTGTGACCCACCTTAATGGGTCGGAAAATCATTTTGGAGAACGAAAAACGAAGAAAAAGACGAACAGAACTAGTAATGTATAATACGGCTTTTAAAAAGTATAATTCATATTGTTCTTAAAATAATAATTGACATCTAAAAATAATTTTTTTAATGATTTTGTTGTTTAAATAATTGCACAATTGAGAAAAGCAATACAGCTTTTTTAATATATTGTACTTTTCCATCTATTTTTATACAGAACATATTTCCAGCTTATTTAATAAGAAAATGAATGAGAGCGAGAGAAAGTTATTATTTGATATTTATTATACTTCATAACAAAACATTTTATTAATTGAATTTCTCTTTATAATGACGTCTCTTGCAGTGACATATTGATCGATCGTTTCAAAACAATGATTTTTCTTTAAAGTGATACAAATTTCATCATTTTATTCTTTTATAAAAAGCATATTGTTCCTATGAATAATCTTTTAGCATTTAAGAAGAATATATGAAATTCAGTTTCAAATATACGCACGTGCGAATGTATATTCCTTGATAATATACTTTTTATGAGATAAGATATAAAAGTGTCTGTGCTACACGTGTAAATATATGACTTTACAATTATGAAACTAATAGTCTATTCAAGATTAGTTAATGTGTTATATAAGTTATACATATATGCCCGAGATAACATAAAAGTGGAAGTATATTCCATGAATATAAAAACAAAAGACATATTTATATATTTACATATAGGCTGCGTTCTGTTATTCTGCGAGTACTGAAAATCTATGGTATATGTAACAATAAATTTCCAGTACTAGTAAATAACGGAACGTATCCATAATTTACTGTAAAAATAGAATACGATAAAAGTCAAATGAGGTACATTGCGTTATAATAGAAACTGATACAATGTTAGCTAAAAATTTAAATTTCTAAATTGACATTGTAAAATAACACACACAATATTAAAAATATAGAATTTTCAAATTAAGTACTCATTCAAATTAACCTTTTCATCAATTTTTCTTTTATAATATTAATAGCATATTAATTTTTGCGAATAAAACATTTTATCATTCTTATATTTGCTTTTTATAAAATTTTCAACAAATTTGTTTTCTATTTTCAATGAAAATTTGTCAGTTTTCATTAAGCAAATCATATGCATACCTATGAATATGATTTATTTTAAGTCAGTTCAGCACTGCAGTTAGTCTTCTAAATCGTTAGTTTATTATGAATAAATTTATATTTTTCTAAACGTATATTACACCTGACTTCTGTTTCAAATGAACGTTTTGTCTTTTGTGTTTGTCACTGTTATTACAAAGATGTGTTGGAAATCGTTTTCATAATCTTCTATATCATATTTTCGCACATTGGGCTCATAAAATCTGAAAGTAACATACATATTTTGTATTACATAGTATTCTAGGAAACTTATACCAATTAAACTTAACCAATTAAACTTTCTTTAAGTTTTAATCAAACAAATAATCATATAGATATACTGTAAAGAAAGAGTAATGATAAAAAATGCTATTTATAATTTATAAAGTTTATTATTGTTATATATTTTTTTTTAAATTTAAGATTAAAATAAACAGTACCCATCAGTGATCAGAATGATCTATATGTAGCTGGGTAACGTGTTGGTATACTTGTGGTAAGAAGACGTGACCAATGTTCCCATCCCAGAAGCTTTGCAATTTCAATACATTTTTCATCAATTTCTTTTAATGGTTTTTCTTCATAATAGCGTGTCAATAATTTCAAATAACGTCCATAATGATTATTGATGTGTGCATGCCATAGAGATAAAATAATAACCTAAAGAAGATATAGAAATAAATCTTATTTATCATTTTATAATGTAAGGGGAGACCGGAACTAAGTGGGCACCTTTTTTTCGAATTGCAATTTTCGGTAACAAAGTAAGCGGTTTTAGTCAAATAATTATTGGTGTTTTATAGAATGATTATAAGACTACAAGATGGCAATAAAAAGTTTTGGTGTTTGCAACTTCATTTCATCCATATACACAAAAAATGATGTGATTCGGAAAATCTCAAAAATTACTTTTGACTATCGAAGATACGTTTGACTACCTAAACATAACAACGTGGTACCTAAACTAACGAAACTTCGTTGGTAAAGAAGACGCACGAAATGCTGTCTACAATATAAATTAGGAACTCATAAAATATATTTGTCACTCAAAATTCAAATGTCAGCTTAGCCCCGGTCTCCCCCTACTTATTAATTATCTAACATTTATTCGAGTGGAGATATGTATACAAGGTATTTCTAAATAAGTGCGAAAAATTTTAGAAGCTGATTCTTTGTCAAAAATTAAGGGAGATTTTTTAATATAAACATGTACTCTTATATACCTCTCTGAAGAGTTACACTCCTTCAAAGGGGGGGGAAGTAAAAATTAAGTTTTTATTTATTTATTTTTATTAATAAGCGTCCTTTTTAGTACAGAAAAATGTTCATTAAATTTCATTTTTTTAACTTTTTTTGTTCAAAATTTAACAAAACATAAAAACTTAATTTTTACCCTTTGAAGAAGTGAAAAGTAAAAATTAAACGTATATTCCCAATTTCTCCTATAGGGATAATATATTACTTTTGTGTATTTTAAAAGATGGCTTTAAACATAATAATAATAATATTATTATTTTTACCTTATTGTCAGTAGGTTCAGAAAATTTCTGTACTTCTTGCCAATGATGTGTAACGCTTTCAAGCAAATGTTCAAAGGATCCATCTCCCTCCCCAGTCTTTGTTCCATGTACATACAACCGTGCCAATGCACAACCTTTTCTCACTAATCCTTCAATCAAACTGTTCTTTTGCTTCTCCATAGTTATTTTAATTTTAGCCGCATCAGGACGCTGATCGTTTTTCAATCCATAATATGCTAATAACTTATCTTGATCGATATTAGTGATCACAGAGTCAGCAACTGTTATTATTTGATTGGCAAACGCAATAGCGTTTTCTGAAAGCTCATTCTGTGGTACATGTCGCCGTGCCTCCGAAGAATCCAATGATATCAACATGGCAGTGTGGACAGGTAGATGATCTGAGAAGGCACCTTTCAATTCTCCGTACAACGTATTGGTATGATCACCGGGTTCTGTTACAAACAAGAACAAAATTCATTAGTATTAATTCGTAAAAATAAATTTTCATTTAACGTATATGATAAATGTCATATATATTAAAGGTTTGCATACATGTAGATATTCATGTTAGATTTTTGTTACATGATAACAAATGTTCTCAAATTATGTATGCTATTAATGTAAATAGTTTGTTTTATTATAAACATAGTAAAAGGATAAAAACTAATCATGGATACATATTTGACATATAAATATTTGCAGAAAGTTAGATAAATGCAACAATTGCAATTACATGCTCAAAAGTACACATGTATTTTATATGGATAAAAAAGGACATAAATATTCACATTATGGAGAAAAATACATAGATGTTCACATTTTAAATTCAACCCAACTTACTTATTGATGGTGCTAATTGATGGAATATAAACCGGAAAAAAAAGATAAAAATATATATGTGATAATACTAAATAATACATATACTAAATTATTCTAAATTTATATCTATTGTATATCTAAACATTACAATATCTAAATGTTAGATTACCAAATTTAGCAAGGTAATTGCATTTTAAATCTCTTATTGCTTCCTGGTATTCATCCCACTTTGTAGTTTTCTCTTTCTCAGATTTAGCAGTAGCGTTGACATTTTTCTTAGTAGGCTCAGATATGATGTATTTAAATACGTAACTATCCACCTTCTTTCCAATATCATCTTTACAGAAAGTCAATGTACCTTGAAGATAACTACCAGGGGTAGCGTATTTGGATACTCTTTGCAAAAAGAAAAAAAAATATTTAATGTATATCAAGTGATTAAAATTATATATTTTAATAATAAGTATAGCAGTTTTTTGTTATTTTATTTTTGTTATATGTATTACATGCTGAAGCCGAATAGAACAGGAAAATAAATTGAATACTGTAAGAAGAGCGTAATAGTGGTCATAATATACATGATGTTTGTAACAGAATATAATCTCGCAGAAAAATAATACACTCCATTCATATCAAATGTACTAATACGTTACATTAACAGACAAAAGCATAACTTGTATATGTAAAAAGTCAAATCATTTTTTGTGGAATAAAATATTCGCAAATAATAAAAGTTGACAATAAAATTTGAAGAAACGACTGTATAAATATAGATATGAAATCTCTATGAAGAAATTTTTAAAATTTGCAACATTTTTGAAGAACAATAACATCAAATTAATAATTAAAAGTAGTAAAAAAAGCAGTAGTTTTTTAATATATACGTAGGCAAATTTTTTTACTATATAAGTTTGATTTATGTATATTATTTCAATAAACATAGATAAGAATTGACATACATTACTTATCCGATAAATGTTGATGTATCTGCTTCAACTAAGAATAAAAAAAGAAAAAAAAAATTTGCCTATGTAAATTTGCCTTTTTAAAATGTACCTTTTCTTGCAATAAGCAATATTTTGATATTGTATCTTGTATGCAATATCACGTCTATTAAGCTGACACAGCCACTCCAGCACAATCGAATGTAACCTACACAGAAATTTAGTACATGTTTGTTGCTAATTTGTTGCTCAGTTCCCGATTTTTTTATTCCATCCCTGATTCTTGAAAACCGCCCCCAACCACCCCACGCCAGCACAATACCTCCAACTGTAAATTACACTAGCTTAAAAAAAAAATTTTTTTTCAATTACTTTCGACCGGACTATGTGTCTCTTATAGATTTTTGGACGCTGAAAACGATGCCACAAGCGAAAAAATTTTAGCTCGTCAGATTTCCAAGATAATTGAGGTTTAATATCCAAAAAATGTTTTTTTTTATGATATTTTACATTTTTTTAAAGAAAGTGAACATTATCTTGAAATTTCGATCAGAAATCATGATATAAGAGACACGTAGTCCGGTCCAAAGTAATTTTTTGCTGTAAACTAGTGTTATTGAGATATCTCGATTGATGTCGTGTCTCCGATTTTGTTGCTCCACCCCCGACACTTGAAAACCATCCCGCGCCAGCACAATACCTCCAAATTGTAAATTATTGAGATATCTCGATTGATTTCTCTCGTGTCTCCGATTTTGTTGCTCGCCACTTACAGTAAACCCGATTTTGTTGCTCTACCTTCACCCTTGAAAACCACCCCTAGCCACCATATACCAGCACAACACCTCAAAACGGTAAATTAATCGAACATCTCGACTGATTACGTTTCCCTGATTTTGTTGCTCGCCATTTACAGTGAACCCGATTTTGTTGCTTCACCCTTTATCCTTGAAAACCATCCCTAGCCAACATATACCAGCTCAAAATGGTAAATTAATCGAATAGTGGTTTTCAAGGATGAACGGTGGAGCAACAAAATCGGAGACACGAGAAATCAATCGAGATATCTCAATAATTTACAGTTTGGTGGTATTGTGCTGGCTCGGGGTGGTTAGGGATGGTTTTCAAGGGTCGGGGATGGAACAACAAAATCGGGAATTGAGCAACAAATTAGCATCAAATCAGTACAAAAAGAATATGTGTGATTTTTTAATTTTTTTAAATGGCTGTGCTAACTTAAGTTAACACAGCCATTATTTTCTCGGAATTGGCTGGAGCAACAAAATTGGGAATTGAGCAACAAATTAGCAACAAAAAAATACTAAATTTCTGTGTAGGTTACATTCGATTGTGCTGGAGTGGCTGTGTCAGCTTAATAGACATTGCAATATCTTGATTAAAGACAGACATAAGCATGCATTTAAAAATATGTTGTCATATAACTGAATAGCAAATGTCCTTGATTTTATTTAAAGCTTTCAAATGCAAAGTATGTATAAAATTGTATTATAAACTCACTTGTTTTCAGTGCTGCAATGTAAGATGAAAAAAAATTATCTTAGTAGCATTTCAGCACTAAATAATATATTATAATATATTATGTTATCAAATATCTCTAAATGAATGTCACAGAATTTACAGGTATGTATAAATTTTTTAATCAATTTGATATTGATGTTTTCTTGGCGAAATGTAATTATAGAAATTAAGTTTCAAAACGGAAAATTAAAATTGTATTATTTATACAAATTTAAGAAAATTTCGTTTTAATAAGATTTTAATACAAAAATCAATATTAAATATAAGATATTTAACTTTAAAAAATAAAGAATTATATATAAAAAAGAATTATAGAAATAAAGAATTAAATAAAAAAATTCCAATAAAGATTTTTTTACTAAGAAAAAGCGGTATCAAATTGGTCAAAGAAAATATATGTAAATTTTATGACATCAATTTAGAAACATCTTACATATATATAAAATATTGAATTATAATATTTTCATAAACGTTTTTAATGTACACACGTATAAATATTTTTATTCGTATACATTTAACTTGATAATTAAATAAAAATGAAAAAATTACTAACTATAAGTAAAACTCAAACAATATTTTGCATTCAAGCATATTACTATGTGATTTTCAAATCGTAAAATCACTAAGAGTTTAGAGAAAGAAAATATTTTTATATACAAAAATACAAAATTTTGCATAGAATATTTCAGAATATTTTTTATATTTTAAGCATACAATTTATCAAATTATATGTATGAAACAAATGTGCAATAAAGATGATTTGATATTGAGAGTACATCAATAATTTTTAATATATATATATATATATATGTATATTTACATATACATATATAATGTATTTTAATATGAATTATATGCAAAAGTATGTATATGATATGTGTACAATGTAAAAGTATGTATATGATATGTGTACAATGTAAAAGTGTTAAAATATATAAAAATTTGAACATTTAAATTAAAATTATGAGTGTGTATATAAAATAATTAACTAACCTATAGAATATATTTTTAAGATAAAATGTTGCAATTAGAAACCTTGAATATTTTGGAAATTTTCGGTCCCAATTATAAAATTTTCTTTATAGATAACTTTCATAGTTGCAAATTAGTCTTATGCAAATAATTATTAAATATTTAACTACATCTATTATGATCATCTTATTATGATCGGCAAATTTAGAAATGTCAAACTACATTAATTTACATATATCTATAACACAAATACTAAGAAAAAATATTACATGTACACATATAAATGTAAACACTCACTTGTTTTCATTAGACAGTGGAGCAATATACATAGGAAGAATCTGGCCAGGTGGAATACATGCAGCAACCATTTTTTTCCCACCAATAATAGCTTGCGATTGATTGGTATAAATATCCAAATTAATTGGTGTACTAAGCTTTTGACTTAATAGTAACGGCATGTCTGTCAATCTTTCCAACAAATCCTTTTTCTCATGACGTATATGCATTTTCAAAGTGTAATCTCCCTTTTCTAATTTATGAATTGTATACTGTAATAAATTAATATTATTTTCATACGTTAAATGAAACTGTACTAGAGGCCAAGTTTCATATTTAGATCTTGGAATTATTATATCAGTGTTATAAAAAATATACAATCCTCTAAATATATTTTTATTATTATATTAAAAAAATATTATCATGTATACAATATATATATATAATAAAAATATATATAATAAAAAAGTTGATGTACTTCTGTAACAACAAATCCAATACAATATTTCGTTATATTCTCTCTCTCTTTAAATATTAAAGTAAAAAACTCACTTTAGATGGATATGCATCTCCACAACTTATCAATTGTTTATTACTATCGTAAATCATCCACATTTGGCTTTCATACTCGCTTTCATACAACAAGTCACTAAGCAATGCAGCATTTGGTGTGACCTCAGTTGACTTTGCCGAGTGGAATGTGTATGTTAGTTGTAATTCATATATTTGTCGTGATGGTGGAATAATATCACGTGCTCGTAAAGGAGCAATTTTCGATTCATTAGGCCTATAATGTTACATGGTAAAGTGTATCTCGTAATCATTAGTATAAAAATAAGATGCAGATCTCAAGTAAAACATACTTTAAGACTTGAACAGATGTCTTCAGAGAAATATTGGGTACAACTTCTTCGTTTCTAAGAGAGCTGCGTAATTCAAGACGATTTATTCCATCTCCAGATAGCATTGTAAGATTACCGTTTATCATATGAATTCCATGAAATTCTATAGAATAATCAACGAACATATCACCAAGATTTGCCCAATACTTTGCGATAACTACTTCTAAAATTAATCCACCCTGAAAAAATTATTTGCATATAGAGATATAATAAACTAAACAATTACAAATTATACTTTTTAAGAATGTATTTATACATCTTTAATATAAATGTTTTGTACCTGAACAGCAAATGGTTGAACAGTTTCCGATTGAGATGTAACACTTATTATTCTGTTAACTTCAAGAGTTTTACAGGCCAAACGAGGTTTTAATTGAATAGTGTGCATCACAAATCTACCAGTCTTATCCTTTTCTGTGCTTTTTAATCTGAGAACTGATTCAAACATATAAACAATAAAATATAATATATATAATATTGTCAAAGTTACATTAAATAATATTTATGATAAGATTATCTTTGATATATTACCTGCCCAAGTAGCATCTTCTGGAACAAGAATAAAATGACGCTGAATTGTATTAGGTTTAAATAATACATTTGTGTATGTTAAGTCTGGAAGAAGTGCAGTCTTCGGTATTGTAATTGGCTGGACAACAGTTACTGGAATTTGAAATACTGGTCCTTTCGCGATATTAGTTACGTCATACGCTCGTACACTAAAAATTATAAGAATGCAAACTTATAATTGCAATTACTTTAAACTAGTTGATATAATGCAATTTAAAATAACTATTTTTACCTAGTAGCATGAACACCTTCTGGTAAATTAGTAGCGTCAACTCTAATAGCAAAAGCACGAGGCATATGCATCAAGTCCAGATGTGTCGGAAATTGGACCCAGGAAGCATCACACACCAGTGTTAGCTTCAGATTGAAATCTATTTTGCGTGCTGGATCTACAAAATGACATAAATTTATTTGTACAAAAATATTATTTTATATATCATTTTATTAAAATATTTTATATACCATTTTATATTAAAAAATTATTTTATATTATTCATTCTAGAGAAATCTGATATCGTGATAATAAAAATAAAAAAAGAACAAATACAGAAAATCGTTACGTATTATGTTACCTATATTTTCGCTATTTATAAATACTGGTTCAACTGTAATTGCACAATCCTTTGCACGATCAATGACACCTGTTCTCATATGAATGCCTTTAGAATTAACACCGCAATTAATAGCAAAGCGTACGTCTCTTTCGGGTACATCACAACACGAAATGAGATTATCAAATGCACGTTCGACTTGTAATAGGCCAGAGCCTTGTGCAAATGGATCTAAATTGGGTATATAAAGAGCAGTATTCTCAAGCGCTCTTTTTATACTATAAGGAGAGTACAAAGAACCCTTGGCAAGAAGACCCGATATAAGAACCGCTGAAAATATAAAAGTATGATATAAAAATATTTTCATAATCACATCAAAATTTAATATGTCATAAATATATATAGAAATTTCGATACACACCAACTGCTCCCGTAACATGTGGACTTGCCATACTTGTACCATTCATAAGTTGACTTTTTCTAAGAGTAAAATTTGGAACGCTGGTAATGGCACCTCCTGGTGCACATACTGTTACACCAGCACCTCCATCTATCATTGGGCCACGGGAGGACCAAGTATATGGCATGCCTGGCATCTTTTCTCTTAAAGAATATTCAGCTACCATCATATCAGGTGATACGTAAGCACCAACACTAATAATACTGTTTGAACTGATGTCTGGAGGAGTTCCTATATATTTTTTAAAGTATTTAGATGTAAGATGTCAAAACACATAGCGCAATAAAAAAACTGTCTAAATATATTTTGTACTTATAATGTTAATACAAATTGTAGCAATATAATCAAATTTTAAGAAGCTGATATAATAGAGTGTGTGTGTGAAAAGAGAATAGTGAATTTTATTTACCAATAGTACACAAAGCTGGGCCCAGATTACCAGCAGATGCAACCCATGATACACCATATTCGTCAATAACTTCGTTCATTAATTCTCCTATTCTACCTGTATTTGACCAATGAGCATGTTCACCATAACTCATGTTTATAACGTGAACCTTCTCTTTACGTTGCATTATATAGATCATTGCCCGTACAACTGAAGTTCCAGTTTCCATTGTGCCAATACGTCCATCACCAACAGTAAGCGAAATAATTTGGGCTCCTGGTGCCACTCCATTCAATTCTGGATTATCAGGAAAATATGCAGCTGCGATTGACGCAACATGTGTCCCATGACTCGCTGTAATATAATTTAATTAAAAGTCGAATAGAAAAATTGGATATTTAATTTTATAAAACTTTAACAAGATTTTTATTATACTTACAGCACAAACTGACAATTTCTAATGTATTGCCTTCATCATGAATATTAATACTAATATTTAACTGGTCTTCTTGTGTAAGAGGAGCAAAATCTCTCGTGATAGAATATTCACCAAGAAAAACACCAGTTTCCAGGTTACCCACTTCAGAAGTATCAATACATGCTCTGTCATAGAAAAAATAAATATCAAATCAAACAAGTAAATATAATGCAATTTAAATTTTAAATAAATAGGTATGTGCATATTTAGGCTTATCACATACTCGAAATATGATTACCTCCAAATGTTACCATCGTGGAAAACAACGCAATCGTAAGTAGGTCCTACATCACAATACTTTTTTTCAATATTATTCAATACTTCAATTCGAGCTTCAAATTCTTCTTTTTGCAGTCTTTCTTCCAAAGTCGATAATTGTGGATTTTTATTCTCAAATTCCTGCATATTATATTTAAGAATATTATATAACTAAAATTTATAAAGTAAGCTTATATCATTAGCTAATTATTAATAAAAAATTAATAATGTATTGATATAAGTTTACTTAATAAAACTACATAAACGGAACAATACATATTTCAATAATGGTAAAAAAACTCCTGTTTATAATAATTTAATTTAACATATAAAATACATTTTCAATTCTCCCTCTCTCTCTCTCTCTCTCTCTCTCTCTCTCTCTCTCTCTTTTTCTCTCTAACAAATTTTTTTACGTTAATGATATATTTTTATATCTTCAATTTTTTGTATATATCTTTAAATATTTTTACATGCTTTCTTGCACTTATAAATTAATATTTAAATTATATACCATAAAAATATCATAAAATTAATGATAACATTATGAACACATATATGTATCATTCATATAATAGGTTTTGCTTAAGTAGATATTATATAATAGAATCAATAGCCTTTACAATAGATCAATCTGCCAAATACAAATATAGCATTAGATACGGATCACTGTGACATGTTGTGAAATAGCGGCCTCATTTAATTGCATGGTTTGACATGCATTCCTATCTTTGGATCACATGGACTAATATTCTAATTATAATACTATTCAAAAATATTTCTATTGATTTCCAGTTCTTGTGACATTTCAATAACATTATCATTATTTATATGCATTAAAGACAAAATAACAACTTAATGTCGAAAATTTCTAATAAATACATTTTAAAACATCACAGAATGAGATGGATAATTAATAACAAAGAGATTAATAATCTCAATTCAATTAAAATTCTCATATACCTGAGTTTTGAAAGTTGTAAGTATATAAGGAATGAAGTGAATTATAATTCATTTTTGAAACAAATGTAAAGTATCAACATTTTTTAATTAAAAATATTATACCTGTAATTGTCTGGAAGCTTCTGCAAGCGCTGCTTTATGTCCATCATCCCAAAGACGCTTCTTGCGTTCTGCCACTACTCTTTCCTTTAATTTAGTAGGATATAATGAATACAGATTCTTTAAACCGATATGATATTCTCCACTAGGGCTATTCCAATTAGATGGAACCTAAATAATAAATAATAATCAAATGTTGCAATTAATATGTATGAGTTGTTATAATAAACATCTGTTTTATTCTATCTACAATTACACACATTAGGTCTGTTCTTTTTCTATCCTAAGTTCTAAATTGATGGTACAATAAATTAAAGTGAGACAGATATAAGGCTTGTTCTTCTTGGCTGAACTTTTGCACCAGTCTTCATCTTTCTTCTTCTTTTTTCCTCTTAAAGAGAAAAGGAAGAAAGATGAACTGGTGCAAAAGTTCAGCTAAAAAGTATAGGCCTATAGTTTGTTTTACTCTAACTTATTGCACTACATAGTTCAGAACCAGTTTAGAATTCTTCGAAAAAGAACAGACCTATTATCATGACATTGATATATGTATATATATATATATATATATTTATATATTTACATGTTCTGCTAATATAATTAATTTAATGGATTTTACTGTTGTGCTTACTTATACTTTTGCAATTAGCAATTTAAAATTCTAAAAGTAACATTAGGTTATAAATAAAAAAAATGTACAGCGTAATTTCATATATAACACAATATCTTTTTTTAAGCAATAAAAGTTTACTTGAACAGTGTACAGTACACATACCTTTAATTTACGACCAGTCAGGCCAGTTATGAATCCATCTGGTGCTTGAACAACTTTGCTAGTGTCTACATCCCCTGCTCCGCTACAGTCAAATCTCTCAATAATTTTTGGTTTTCCATCTGAAGTCACCTAAATCCCATTGATTTATAGATAACAAGGTTTATTTTTTCACTAAAGTTTTTAATAAAGCATTATTAACGTTTTATTAAAGATTTAATAATGTGAGTTCTATAGAACTTTAACAATATTTTAATTATTAAAGATTTAATAAAGACTGTCGAGAATACAGTATGCATAAAAAAAAAAAATAAAAATAGTACACTTTAAAATACAATTTAAAAAAATTTGTTATTAATTAAATATACTGACAAAAATTATGACATAATACGAGAATAGCTATAAAAATTCGAAATGAAAACTGCGAGAAAGCTCAGCCGCGATTAACAGATTTATTATTGACATAACAAAGCTCACAAAACGACTTTCTGTCACTCGATAAGATCTTCTCATAACATGACAATGCGATCATATCAGGCAAGAGTAAACGAACAGCATGACTTTTATCTTTCGATGGAGATAGTTGACGAAATGCGGGAAACATCTCGAACAAAAAAATAAGGAGCGAACGCCAGAAACGATACCCGTTGAGACACATTTATCACATTTACTCTAAAATTTTGCACTCGCGTTTCGAAAAAAAAAAAAGGTCCTTGGGCGAAGGGAATTAGCACCCTGTGGGAGACGTGTTGTCCAACTAACCAATGCCCGTGAATTCACCCTCGGCTCACCTGCATACCCGGGGCTCCGGGGTCCACCCCCGAATCCAAGATCGCAATGACAACACCCCGTCCATCGTGCTCTGGATATTTAGTAAGAAACTGAGTGACACCTGTCTCTTTTTTAGGCAGCAAGCCCCAAACAGGAAAGTTACAATCGATGACGTCTGCCATGTTTCAAGTGCCACTGCCACCGTGACTGCAGGAAAACCACCCGAGATGTTTCCTTTGTACTATTGTATAGCCTTATATATCAATCGAAGAACTTGCTCTGCGCCTGCGTGTGAGCCAGTTGAGATTCATCAGTTTTTGAAGTTAGATTAGGTTAACGGCGGACGATACGTGTCGTTGAGGACGGCCTGTAATTTTATGTTAATTTTGTTATGTAGATGCTTTACGAATAAATATTCGACTCGACAATATCATGTATATTATTGCCGTAAAGATGCATTTTTTTCTATAGTTTTCTATTTACATAGATAACTGGAGGCACTGATGGAGTAATAATAGGAGTGCAATTTTATAACACATTTAATTAATAAATTAAATATAATATGTATATATAACATCTATATACTTGGTTTATACACGATTATATATATACATATATATATATATGTATACATATCAATCGTCGGGATGATATAAATTATAATAATTGTAGTATATAAAATTAATAATAGTATTACTACAAAATAATAATTATATACATATTCGAAGGCATAGTCAATTTTTTATTGTAATTAATTCCGGCAGATAAATTTATAATATGAAAAATAAATGAAAAACAATCCGATTTCTGTGATAGCAAAAATTCGTTGTTAAGATTTTACAAGTATTTAAGAATTCTTTAACAGTTTTTCATACAGTTCGGGATAATAAAAAAATATTAAAAATCATGAGGCGTTCTTTTTGGCTGAACTTTTGCACCAGTTTATCTTTCTTCCTCTTCTTTCTTCTTGGAAAAGGAAGAAAGATGAACTGGTGCAAAAATTCAGCCAAAAAGAACAGGCCTCTTCATTGAAATTCAATAATCCAAGCTGTTGACAAAAGGTACAAAATTACGTATTACTGACGAAGGATAAATGTGATACGACGGAATGCAAATTTCCGGAAATCTCTGCCTAGATGGCGACACTCGTATCTCCAAGACGCTCCAAGCACGCTGCGTCAATAAGCACGTCGCGTGCGGGCAGCGTGCAGGTGCATCTCGGAGCGATCGAACTACAGACTTTTATACTGTATATACGAGAAGTTTGTGGATACGGTGGATAAGACGTACGTTTAGTCGATGTCCGTGTGCCGTGGAGGTTATGTTCGCTCGTCCCGTGTGTATATTTTGAATTAGTAATTAAACTGGGCACGTATCATACGAAAGCGTTTCGGAATGGATTCCGATCGGAGTTATTCCGTTTTCTCTAGAAAGACAGAAATCTAAAGGGCAATCGAATATAATCTCCCGTCGGAATCCTTACCGAATAATCCTATAATACGTAATACACGCACTGAACTCGACTCCTCGAACGCGTGTTTCCCGTGTCACGCGAGAGAACGCAACGATCGTTGTCCGTCGAGCCACGACGGGAGTGACGTAAGCGCGATTTAAAACGAGTCATGTGCAAATTTAAAGTATGGTTATCACGCAACGGAAGATGAAGCAGGTTGCGATCATTGCAATTTGCGTGCTGCTGGGTGAGTCTTCTCGATAGGTTATGGGAGCGAAGAACGAGGAGCATCAGAGATTCGAACGAGCTCGGAATTACGTTCTCACTCTTTTGCGTCGCGAACAACGTGATTTATTTACGGCTGATGCGCCACGCGGTCGGATAATAAATTCAGTGATTGCGCGATCTCGTTTGATCTCGTTCGCTTCTCTGCTTAGTTTCGCGAATTCGTCAAGCGATTCTTCGAATTCTTCCAATTCCTTTTTCCCCCCGTTCCTTTCACATTTGTTATCATTTATTTGTTAACATTATTCAGAATATCCTTTTTTTTTTATTTTTTTTTTTTTTTCGTATATGTCACATGATACGTTTACGTAATTTTATGATTCCATCAGCACTTTATTATCGTTTTAAATTTAAAATACTAGAAATCGACGATGCTGCGTTACAAGAATAGCAAAGTATTTTAATGTGCCTGTCGCTGTCGTATGTTTAGCTCTCGTGTGTAAAACTCTGAAAAATAGAACGGTTGAAAGTTTTCTGAATGTTATAACAAATCGTTGCAAGAATGACTTTCCGTTAAATAAATGAGAGGCGAATATGTCGATTTAATTTTTCGATATTTTCTTGTTTCTATATAAATTTACTTAAGCGTGTAAAGGCCTCTTTTACAATTCGAATTATTGATATAGTTAATTATTGATAATTATACGTCGCGATCGTCGTATTATTGACAATGAGATACGATATATGATGGTAATTTTATCGATAACCGAGCTCTAATTTCAATCAAAATCGTTATGAAGAAAACGGAATGCTTCTTATTTTTCAAAAATAATATTCCGCGTGCAAAAATAATTTTTCCGCCCCAAAAATGTGCATATGTATAATTTTTGTATGCAGGAATTTATTAAAAATAAAAAACAAAAAAAATGAGCCAAATATGAATTTTATTTTTTCCTAGTTTTTATTCTTAGAACCAGATATATACGTCCATTTCTATTTTTACTAAAATTATTTTCCTCTGTCTTGTTCATTTCTATCCATGCAGATTAATTTTAATCTCTTGTGCCCATTTCTGTTAATGTAGATTAGATGTATAACTCGATTTAATTTGTTTCTTATCTTCTTCTAGTTTTAAGAATTAGAAAAAGATAGAGTATAACAAACAGACGACCAAAATTATCTTTCTCTGTTGTTTATTTTTAATCAATATAAATTAACTGTGATAGAAGATTCCCGTTAGCTCACATTTCGATAGCATACATTCACTCACATCAGCCTAGAAACTTCTTCTCGGTATACCGATCAGAAAATTTTATGTTAAATTGGCCAATTAACGATGTGAGAGCAATTGGATTTCTCTCAGCTTTAATCTCAGTTTAATTTATTCTTTATCTTTTTCTAAGAATTCGTGTCTGACACGATTCCTTTCTCATATCCTTTTTTTAATCGATTTCTATATACAAATAATTATATATGCACACTTCTGGAGCAGCAAAATTATTTTTGCATGCCTCTGTAAATAACGATCGGAAAGCTTTCTCGGAGCGCAAATGTATGCAGCGTATAATTTATGTAATTATATAACATTTGACCGTTCGCGTCGAGCACCACCGAATACCGAACGAGAGTTGGAAAATAAGGCAATTTGTAGAGGCAAATCTTTTGGGCATTAACCGTTGCGGTTACCCGAGATCCATAGACTGTCATTAGTAACGATATACGTTAAATAAAAAAGTTCAATATTACAAGAAGCAAAATGTTTATTGTTTTATCAGTTTGAAAAATCTTGCATAAATTTACAATTATTATTTTATTTATTACGATTATGAATGTAATTTGTAATTGTAACACAACCACAGAAACTCATATAGACATTTTATTTATATTTGATTTATTTTTGGAGCCACAAAACTTTCTATTTTTATATTAATGTAATTATTATATTGTTGAAAATTAATTCATAAAGAACAGATCTAATTCCAGATTAATAATGTCGTTTTTATATATTTGTGTAACAGTCTTAGGTTTTTACAAAACTCTGGTGACTACGGAAGAGGAACGATCTTTCAACCGCGGTCGACATCGCGCCGTGCTCGGCGTAAATAAAGCTAATTTAGATAAAAACGAACTCATCGAAGTTGCGACACAAAAGATTCGCGATGTCGAGGACGACGGAGACATCAGGGACATCGAGGAGGCGAAAATTCGGATCCGCGAGCTGGAGGGTAAACTCCAGCATCTGGAGGCGGCAATTAAGAACGGAGTGGCGAAGGACTTCCCAACGGTGAAGTTCCTAAATTATAAGAATCGGAAACGAATCCTAGTGACGGGCGGTGCGGGCTTTGTTGGTTCTCATCTCGTGGATCGTCTGATGCTCGCCGGGCACGAGGTAATAGTCGTCGACAATTTCTTCACCGGCAGAAAGCGGAACGTGGAGCACTGGGTCGGTCACGAGAACTTCGAGCTGGTGCATCACGACATCGTAAGGCCATTGTATCTAGAAGTAGATGAGATCTACCATCTCGCTAGCCCGGCCAGTCCGCCGCATTATATGCTGAATCCTGTGAAAACGATCAAGACAAATACCCTAGGCACTATAAATATGCTTGGTGAGTTAACAGTACGGAGCTGAATTTGAAAATTGAAAATAAGAATTGAAGATATTCAACGTTATTAATTTATTGACGACATTTTAGGACTCGCAAAACGAGTCGGCGCACGAGTATTAATTGCGAGCACGTCAGAAGTGTACGGGGATCCTAACGAACATCCGCAAGCAGAAACTTACTGGGGTCATGTTAATCCCATCGGTAAGATTCTGTGTGATGTAAATATAATTTTTTCTTTTTCTTTAAATTGTAGTAGATACCATAAAGATGGACATATTTGAAATATAGGACCGCGGGCATGCTATGACGAAGGAAAACGGGTTGCCGAGACATTGAGCTACGCTTACATGAGACATGAAGGTGTATCGGTCCGAGTTGCACGAATTTTCAACACCTTCGGTCCGAGAATGCATATGAATGATGGTCGTGTCGTGTCGAATTTTATCATCCAGGCTTTACAAAATGAATCGATCACGATATACGGCAGTGGAAAACAGACCCGATCGTTTCAATACGTTTCTGATTTGGTGGATGGATTGGTAGCATTAATGGCATCTAATTATACACTTCCTGTAAATATTGGAAATCCTGAAGAGCAGACTATTGAAAGTAAGAGTTATTCTCCAATCATGCTACGCTTTTTCCAACATTTGTTTGTATATATTTATCGAAGTTGAACATTCCAATTTGTCTCAGAATTTGCGCGTATAATAAAGAGCTTGGTGGGTGCTACCAGTGAAATAGTCGAACTCGCGGCGGTTGAAGATGATCCGCAGAGAAGAAGACCTGACATCAGTAGAGCCAAAAAATATTTAAACTGGGAGCCTAAAGTTCCTTTGGCTGAAGGCTTGAAAAAAACCATAGTGTATTTTGCAAAGGAATTACAAAGGACAAAGCACTCTCAAAAAAACAGTTTTAAACATTCTTCATACAAAAACGATCACGATATTGTAGAACAACTTTAGAAATTCAAGTGTAATGTGATACGATGAATGTATCCACTTTCAGAAGTGGCGTGAAAGTGCCATTAAGCTATGGACCAGTATGTGCCAAAAAATCCCCGTCCAATTTAAATTTTGCATAATTTGTATAATCAATCAATACATATATATACACACATATATAATATGCAATCATTTAAGTAAATAGACTCGAATTTCTTCCAATCAGGTACATATGTCATGTTCTCTCTTTGTAGCAATAATTTTTAAAATATATTTTTATTCCTTTTTCTATGACTCCATAGCTCTCTCTTTCTTTTTATTATTTTTAATTCTAAGTATATATTTTAAAATATATTGATAATACATATCTAAATATAATTTATGTACTTTTATCTTTATTTTTCTTTCTTTATTATTAACATTGTATCTATTCAAATTCGTGCATTAATTTTAAATAGGAAAATTGTTATCTTTTATTTATCTATTTATATTTTTATCGAAGCAGAACTGAAAAACTGGTGCTGGTGAATATGAAGATATTTTTTTCTTTTTTTACATATTGTCGATCACGTATTAGCTTGGACGTAAAATAATTCGCTTAGATATAATATTTATATATAGGTAGGAAATGTTGTTTAATTTTGACTCATTTATTACAGTCATAATAGTGATATTACCGATAATATGTACTTGCAATAAAACTTCAAAGAATGTTATTAAGTTACTCAATTATAGTTGTAATGAACATTCGCGAACTCTTGTACAATACATTGAAATGGATAGTATCTAATACTGACAAAATAGTTTTTCATTTGTAATTTATATTACAGTTATATGGTACATAAAATATAGATATAGTGTGATTATAAACTGTGAGACTGTAATAACAACGTATAAGTAAGAAAGTAATTTTATATTTTATATATAAGAGTAGAGCAGAAAATACATTTACGATAATGTAACTATTTACAACGTAACTTGTATGATGTAATTAATTCTTATATTGTCATTATAAAAAATTATGTAATATTAATTTATCGCGACAAATTCTTTTCCTACAAGTGTAAAATTAAAATTTATATGCGAAGTAAATATGATG